ATCCAACCAACCATCCGAAGAGCACATCGCTGGCCCTGGCACAAGAGTCAGAGCGGAGGCATAAAAGCCCTTGGCCTCATCATTGATGACACATGCCGCACACACTCTAGGGCTGCAGACAGGTGGCGTATAGTACATATATCTGACATAATAATATGACAAAAGCTACAGTTTTATTTGTATAAATTAAACAACAAAAACGGGAAAGCGATGACAGATTAAATGGGAAATATAATAAACTAGGAAGTAACAGGAAGGGAAGAAAGAGTAAAATTTGATATTAAATTAGTGACAAAAGAAGTTCTCAACTTGGGGAAATGCATGGTAATTAATCATCCTTCCTGCACCCTGGCAACTAGGGAGGTTAAGAGTTAAATGTGATGTTCAAATAGTGCCAAAAGAAGTTATTAACTAAGAGAAATGCATAGTAGTTCACTATCCTGATTGGTAAAATATTTACTCAATTCCCTTATCACTACAAAATAATATCAATTTCTTACCAATTCCGAAACTATAATTGATGAAATAGCTACAAAGAAAGTTATCCCTTCACCCTTTAATGTGTATCATAATTTTAAAACTAAATCATTATGGTAAATATTACCAAAAATTTCCTTTAAATTTCCTTATTTTTGAGTTCCATAAAGCTTATCAATGCGCAAAAATCATCCTCTGATGAGTATCAACATCAAACCCATATCCCTTACCTTCCCCCACATTCTTCTCTACCGAAGATAACTACTTAACAATCGCTCTATTCAAAAACCATTGTAACGCCCCGACAATTCAACGGTTGACTGCCTGCCACCAAGAGAATATTGTACTGAGAATTGAGCTGACACAAAGTGTGGCCATTATGGACCATTACGCAGCCTCGTACCAAACCTCCCCCAGCGCGAATCAGTGGCTAAATGTAAACACCCCTTGAACATTATCCCATACACCCCATACCCATATGCCATACCCTTCAGAACTCATCCACAGGGGCGCACACCCGCACTCGTAGACGAGGGGAAAGCGCATCGAATCACTTCAAGTGTTTTCCTAATTTCACGGTTTATATTTCTTTTTATTTTATTTTCGGGTTTGTACCCTCTTCATCGCATGATTTTTGCCATGCCAAAACGTTGCCTTATTTACTTTTAATTTGCCTGCCAAACATACAACCACACAAAGTGTTTGATACATTTCTCTTATTGTGGGTCGAAGTTTTTATTACGACATTATCTGTGGGGGGGGAAGTGGGAGGAAAGGTGTCCCTTATCCTGCTCTGAGTGGGTGTCTGTCTCTGCATATTAAGGGCACATATAAAAATAATGTAAAGGCCTTTCCGTCTCTCCTCTCTCATTATCGTTTACCGATTTATTTATTTCGATTTCTGGGGCACGCTTTGCGCTTTTCAGCTTACGGTAGGACATTCCATCCGCCGCCCCTCCCAACAGCAGAGTGTTTTTCTCTGGTGCTGATGATCATCATCATTAATTGGGAAACATTTTTGCGTGCCTTGAAGTCGTCCTGTGGGTGTTTCCTGGTTCCTGGGAATGGCTACAGCTGTAGAACATCCTGCTCGGCTCGACTGGCTCTTCTGCTCCTGCTGCCACTTATCATTAATATTTCTACCGCTTCTTTTTTTTCTCCCGTTTGCCCATTTTCTGGCATGCTGACATCCATTCTACCATTGTCTGTGTGTGTGTGTCTCTGTTTCTGTTGCTGTTTCCTGATGATTTTCCCCCTCTTTTCCACTGTTTTTCCTGCTCTTTCTCTCGCTATTTTGACATAATTGTTTTTGCTTGGACTGTGTCCCTCAGCCTCCCAGCACTCCCTCGCTGCCCTAATTAATTGATTAGCTTCAGCAAATCGGTCAATATGTTTGTTCTTTTTTCTGTGTATCTCTGTATCTGTATCTGTGTATGTTTTCCGGGGAAATGTAGGGTGGCTGTGGTCCTCGTAATGAGTTGCTAATTAGATTTGTAGATTGGTAATTCTTTTCGCCCAAAAGGGCGTAACTTTTTGTTACACACTTCGGGCAGAACAGATTGCTGAGGGAGCGAGAGATTCTTGAGAGTCTTTCCAGGTGTTGTGGCTAAAGTACTGTGGGGGGGTTGTATGGCGTATGGAAGTCCTTGGAGTTTGGAATCCCTGTAAGGTTTATAAGTCAAGTGTTAATTAGATTTCATATTCATGGAGAGGATCAAAATATACCCTAAAGCAGGAACTAAATGCCAAAAAAACTACTCCAATTTTGTTGGATACTTTTAATGGATTTTTTGGACACCTTTGATTAATCTAATAGAGTTTCGATTCATATCCTTATTATTTACTCTATATATATTCACAAATATATTCCTCATTCTTTCAATAATTTTCCAAGGACTAATTTTTCCCCCTTCTTAAAGCATTTTTAACAAATAGAAAACCGCCTCTGGGGCTTTTGCTCTTTATCATTCGACGCAGAGACACGACTTTTGCATTTTCCATCATCATAACTTTTTAGCAAGTAAATCATTTTGCCGCTTTTCTTCTCTCGGGTTTTCCCGTTGCCTTTTACATCAAACAAAGTTTTCCAACACCAAGTGGAGAAAATGGCGGCGCTTCCAACCAAAAGAAAGCTGCAGAAAATCAAAAACAAAAGTGCAGGACCAAAAAGGAACAATCTTAATTTTATTTTTTTGTGCTTCTGGCAGCTAATTTTGTTGCCTTTTTCACACGTTCCTTTGTTTGCCACGCCCCCACAGCAAAGAGGGTCGTGGCGGGAGTCATTACAGAAAAAGGAAAAAAAAGGTTTAAGTTGAAGTTTGAGCTACTTCTTGGGGCGTACTTTGCTTCGTCTTTTGCTCGTTCTTTTTGTGCACCCTTTAGAGGAGGGTAAATAAATTTTGTGAATCTGTAGGAGAGCAGAAGTATTTCTGAGCAGAAGCGTAAACTTTCGGCACAAAAAGGATATCTTTTCGCAGTTAAACAACGTATTTTTCCCAACATAAATAGATCGCTTTAATTCAATCAAAGTATGCCACCAAAAAGGGTATTCAAAGGCAGTGTCTGGGAGGACTTTTTCTTATTTTGCTGAGCCACAAAAATGTTTCAAGTTCCCAGGGAAAACTGGGAGTGGCAGTGCAGAAAGTTTTTTCTGTCGCTAAAACCCGCAGCGAATAAAAATTTGATGAGTTTGGCATTTTCTTTAATTGAAATTTGTGATCTTTTAAAAGCTTTGAGACTTTTTTCGAGCGCGCTAGTTTTAAGTGGCATGAAAATGGCAGGGGCAGGGAGTGCTTGCCACACAGGAGAGGTGGGGCAGGGTAAAGGGGGTTTTTCGAGGAACATTCAAGTGGCTGCAGTCATTTTACAGTGGAAGGCACATCATATATGCGATTATCCTGGAGGATTAAAATGTCACCCCCGTTTTTGCGCCATGTCACGAGCCACACACACACACACACACACATCCGAAAGAGACGCAGTAGCTGTGGCACCATCTATAGATACATTTAATTACAAACAAATAAAAGTCATGACAGCACAGAGCACACACACACACACACACACACATGATACGTGTTGCCCCCACCTCATAAGAGATTCAGATTCAAGGTTCAACTTGTGGCATATGCAACAGTTCACACGAGACAGAAGGGACGGAAAGGAACGGCACGGCATTGCCTTTCTGTATCTTTGTATCTTTTGCATCTTTAGCATTTTAATAATCGGTTTATTATGTCTCTGTATCCCATTCCCCCATACCCCCCTCCTCCCTATTTATTTGTAAAGGCCACACACAGAACGAGAGAAAGTCGAACCTTTTCTTGGTTGGAGGGGCACACAACACTTCAAAGAAATCATGCAAAAAAGTATCCGGAGAAAGTATCTTTTGAAATTAACTTTTATTTATTTAAATACTTAACGACAGATTAGTGGAAATTATACACTTGAACTGATTTTCAATGGGGAAGACACAAGAGAAGCAGAGTTGGAGATGATTCTGATCTGATTCTGAATGGGGGGGCGGATGCAAATACGAGTGGAAATTTAGGTGGTGAAATGTGAGGGAAATCAGCCAAAAATAAGTGCAGGGTAAAACACTTCATGGAACTTGACTTGGAATATTAGGTTTATAAGATACTCCGGTATATGGCGGAGAAAAATCCTTTAGAAACGCTTACATTTCCCTGAGATATCCCCGTGACGGGTTTAAGATGTTCCTAAGATACTGATTGCTGATCTTTTAATCAGAAATAAATCTCTTATTTTTCTTTGTGATCTTCTGTTAAGTTATTTTGAGTCATTATAGGGTATATTGTATTTGTGCACAAAGTTCATGTATGTAACACACAGAAGGAATCGTTTCCGACTCCATAAAGTGTATATATTATTGATCACCATCAATAGCCGAGTCGATAAAGCCGTGTCTGTCCGTCCGTCCGTCCGTCCGTCCGCTTGTCCGTCTGTCAGTCCTTATGAGCTCCTGCATCTCAGAGACTATGAAAGCTAGAGCGACCAATTTTGCATCCAGACTTCTGTATGCTCCTCACACTTTTACAAGTGTATTTTAAAAATGAGCCACGCCTCCTTTCGCCCACGCAACAGACCGAAAACCTCATAAAGCTACAATTTTGAAGATAAAAGAAAACTGAAAACGCCATTCTGTAGGGAAGGACCATATCTATCAGACCACCAAATTGGGATCCGATATTATGAATGAATCCACAATGAAGAAATTAATTTTCAGTGGCTAAACCCATCCCGTCCCGCAACTTTTATTCACACTCTGCTTCTGCAGTGTGCGGTCTCTGCCTCTGCCTCTGCCGTACCTCATAAGAATCGTCTCACACGTCCCTTCTCGGTTTCAGATATTTGTATTGAATTTATCTGTTATTTGTCCCATAAAATATTTATCTGATTGAACGCCCAGCCACAGAAGTACCCAAAATACATGACTCATTCTCTATCGTTCATAAAACGCATCTAATGTCCCTCTATCCATCTGTCACCCCCTTCTCTTGCAGCCGTTCAACACGAGCGTGGTCCGCGAAAGCCGAAGCTCCATCCGCAGTTGCATCACCACCATCATCATGCAGCGGCGGCTGCAGCCGCTGCCCATCATGCCGCTGCACATCATCACCATCACCATCATCATCATGCACATGCCCATGCGGCGGCCGCCCATCATGCTGCGGCGGCGGCAGCAGCAGCAGCGGGACTGCACCATCATCATCATGCAAGCGCCGGAGGACACCTGCCCGTGTCGCTGGTGACGAATGTCTCGGCCTCATTCAACTACACGCAGCACATATCCACGCATCCGTCGGTGCCGCCAGTTGCGCCAACGAATACTCAAGGATTCCATCAGCAGCAGCAACAGCAGGCGGTAGGGGGGGTAGCGCCGCCACACGCACAGCAGCCACATCCCACAGCCTTTCATCATCCGGGGGGGCACCATGCGTTGGTGGTGCCACAGAATGGTGTCAGCACGGCCAGCGGCTTCCCCACGCACCTGCTGCATCACAATCTGATTGCGGAGGCGGCCAGCAAGCTGCCGGGGATTACAGCAGCCACGGCCACCGCAGTGGCAGCCGTTGTTTCCTCCACAACCACCGCTGCTGCCGCCGCAGCCTCCGCCTCGCCCTATGGCCACCCCACTATCAATAACAACAACAACAACAACTACTCCTCGCCCTCGCCGAGCAATTCGATACAATCGATCTCCAGCATTGGCTCGAGGAGTGTCGGTGGCAGCGAAAGTCCACGTGTCAATGTGGAGACAGAGACACCCTCACCCTCGGCATCGCCGCCACTGAGTGCGGGCAGCATTTCCCCAGCCCCAACGCTGACGGATTCTCAGGGTTCGCCACAGCATCATCATCCGCCACGACAGACATCGCAGCATAGTTTGAGTGGCGCCACAACGCCACCGAGTCATGCCTCGCTGCTGATGCACAGCATCCACAACAATCATCATCAGCTACAGCATCATCAGCATCAGGGCAGCAGCAGCCTCAATGGCGAGCAGAAACTATCGAGTTTTACCTCGGGTTCGCCAACACCCACGACGCCCACACCGCCACCGCATGCCGCACACCCTCCGACGATTGGTTTGCGTCCTTGCCACCCATCGGCGGCGTCGGCTGCTGCTTCGAATGGCTTCCTGGAGCTGCTACTGAGCCCAGACAAGTGCCAGGAGCTCATTCAGTACCAGGTGCAACACAATACGCTGCTCTTTCCACCGCCACTGCCACAGCAGCTGCTCGATTCGAGACTCCTCTCCTGGGAGATGCTGCAGGAGACGACGGCTCGTCTGCTGTTCATGGCCGTGCGTTGGGTCAAGTGCCTCATGCCTTTCCAGACGCTCTCCAAAAACGATCAGCATTTGTTACTGCAGGTAGGATCACTCGTTAAATCCTTAGCATTTAAATCCTTACTAAATCTCCCCTTTGCCTTTGCAGGAATCCTGGAAGGAGCTTTTCCTCTTAAATCTCGCCCAATGGACCATACCCTTGGACCTGACACCCATTCTGGAATCGCCGCTAATCAAAGAGCGCGTGCTGCAGGACGAGGCCACGCAAACGGAGATGAAAACTATCCAGGAGATTCTCTGCCGCTTCCGCCAGATCACGCCCGATGGCAGCGAAGTGGGTTGCATGAAGGCCATCGCTTTGTTTGCCCCCGAAACGGCCGGCCTCTGCGACGTGCAGCCCGTGGAGATGCTGCAGGATCAGGCCCAGTGCATCCTCTCGGATCATGTGCGACTTCGCTACTCGCGGCAGGCCACACGCTTTGGCCGCTTGCTGCTGCTGCTGCCATCGCTAAGGACCATCCGTGCCTCGACCATTGAGGCGCTGTTCTTCAAGGAAACGATTGGAAATGTGCCCATAGCTCGGCTCCTGCGCGACATGTACACCATGGAGCCGGCCCAAGTGGTGCACGAAAAGTGAGGAGGCACAGCAAGGAACAGAGGGTTCCAGAGTTTCCCCAGAAAATGTAATCAAAAATCGATTTTTGTGCGGCAACAATTTTTCCGTCACTTGCAAAAATATTTGTACACCCAAAAAAAAAAGAAAATGCAAAAGGAAAATGCAAGAGAAAATGGTGGAAAATTGTGTGTGGAAAAAAATGTTACTAACTCGTCGACTCCTACGTTGCAAACAGCTGTGACATTTCACAGGACGAGGAGCCACAAGGACCATGTAATAGATATATATTTATATATATGCGATAGATACATGCCACGCCTTCTCGCCCTCTCTCTCTCTCTCTATCTCTCTCTCTGTCTAGCTGCAACAAGAATGTCCACCACGCCTCCAGCTACCATTTCTACATCCATTAGCTACGTTGATTTATAGCTACGCGAAAAATTGTTCAGCTTTTCTTTTACTTTCATTTCTAACGCTTTTTCCGTTTACATTTTTTTATTTCCAATATTTTTATTTTATTTCCATCTTTTTGGCCATCGCTTTTGCTGCTTTCTTTCTGGGACATAGTCCCTGTCCCTCTCTGTGTGACAGGGCCTTTATTTATCTTTCATTCGACGTTTTGTCGTTGGTTTTCTAAAAATTTCATGTTATTTCAACCTGGCAGAAGAACCAGGGAACAGGCCACAGGAATTCTACCATCCATCCAACCATCCTTACACATCCTTCACTCTGTTTCCCTTCTGATAACTGCTGTCTTCGTTTCCTTCTTCCTGCTACTCCTCCGTTTGGCACTACTCCTTCTACTTTGTGGCACATTTTTTTACCTTTTTCGGGTTTTGGCTTTGGTTTGCAAATACCCTTTAAAGGCAGAGTAATGCATACTTTTCTAAGCCTTTGGTTTGCAGTCGAAGCAATGCAAAATCAAACCCTGAATGGGCTTGCTTTTATTAATGTTAACTGATTTATAATTAAAACTAGAATTTCTGTATAAATAAATATAACATTTATAGCCATAGAAAATAATTGATTAGTGCTTGTTTAATATCATTTCTTGACAAATGTACAACTAAACTAAGACAACTTTGAATTAAATGCTTTCAAATCAAAAATAAACCTAGAGATTGTTAGGAAATTTTCTATAAATTTCAGAAATACTTTTCTTAAGCGGTTTAACTTATTAAATTCGATGGGTTAGAGATCAATCTTGCTGGGCGGAAAAAAATTCCCGCTTCCTTCTATATAAAAATATTCAAACAATTCAATTAGGCATAAAGATGCCGAACTTTGATTAATTTCTTAAACTTTTGACTTGAAATAAACTTCTATTTTGATTTTGCATTCAATTGGTATGCCTGGATTGTAACATGGCTTACTTGTTCCAAGATTCCATTAGGGTTTACTGTGTTTAGCAAGGAAACTCATTATTTAAGGGCATTCAAACTTGGCTTTTGTGCGCATAAATTCTTCCTCCATCCTCAACCTATCCACTTTTCTGGTTCCCATTTGCCATTCACTGTTTTGCCGATTTCTTCCTGGTTTTTTTGTCCCACCTCCACTGCAGCTGTGGCATCATAATTTTCTTGCCATCGCGTTTTGACGGTACATTTACCGCGTAGAATGGGGAGCATCGCGTTTAGAAATCGTCAAATGATGAAAATGAAAAAATAACTTTGCCGCAGGGCCACAGAATTTACGCAGTTACGCAGGTAACTGTTGTTTCGAGTCTCTCTGGATCTCTCTCCTATTTCAGTTGTTTCTATACATAAGTTATATCTATAGCATGAGTGTGTGTTTGTGTGGCTTTGTTTATAGATACCAAAAAAAAGCTCCGCTTTATAATTGATTCACACATTGAAATGTTGTAAAATGATTGAGTGCGAGCGATATTAGGATATGGAAAGAATAAACGAAACAAAATATTCAAATAGTTTGGAAACGAGTCCTTATAAATACTAGAAATTAATGTAAAAAATGCTGCAGAAACAGAGATGCATATTGAGAAATTGAATACATTTAAATATGATATGAAATACATAAAAATACAAAAGACATTTTTGTTGAGTTGCGTTTTCTTTTTACAGAAGGGAGGGTTTGATGTGAATGATGTAACAAAAGATAAATACGGGCTACAAACATTAGTTCTGTGGTAAAGAAATTGTTTTAAATTCGATGTTCTATAATTGCATGGATGTGTGGAAGATATGCTACGGATATTGCTTTCAACATTAAGCCTACATTCAATACTTTAAATGTCAAGCAGAACTTTTGTTCATCACCATTCTTTCAATCTGAAAGAGAACCTCCAATTATTATTATCTCTTCAAAATTATGAAAGACTTTAATGAAGCTTTCTAGTTAAAAAAAAACAAAGACACGACAGTTAAGGGAAGCGAATGAGTGCGATAAGCTCCTTTTAGAAATTGAGATATTGACAGCGAGAAATCTTCGCATTTTTGGTGTGCATGTGTAATCCCTTCACTCATTTAAATTGCACTAGCAGCTCCCATTACTGCAAGAGAAATAGGCTCAATAGCAGAGCAAACTCCTCTATCAAAGCAATCATCCACAGAACCTTTAATATGAGATTCTGGCCACACGTCTAACCTTTAGCACATCTGAAGAGCTTATTGAAATTAAGTGCATTACGAAAGAAACCCAGTACGCAAATCATATATTTCTAATACCTTTTATTTGCACGCACTGGATGTCTTTGAAATAGTTTTCAGTTCGTTTTGGTTAACATTCTGTCAAAACTTGAATGTGTGAGTGGGAGAAGCAAAGAAGTGTTTAATTTAGAGCGTGCTTTATGCACTTTCTAAAACGCAAAAAGGTTGATTATGGTTAGTGGCGGCATGCCGATCTCTGCACCCTTGCGGAAGCCTGCAATTTCATTGGAAAACAATCAATTTGGTAGCTATGGGCGCTAATTCAATTTGAAAACATACCCATATAAATCACGAAAGGCACAAAGCCCCAGTGGACTGTCTTTTGGACCACGTTGAGAACAATCATTAAACGATCCTTGGCTTCCTCGGAAAACTCCGGCATATTGAATTAAATTTAGTTTTGGTTAGTTTTAAAGACAATTTTGCTTTCAATTGTGAACAAGTCAATGCCTTTTATTGTAATACATTTTACTCCTAAAAGATTCGTAAAGATTTGACACAGGCTGCTTTGAGAAACTAAAATCAAATATTGTGGAAAAAATGTCAATGCCACCCAAAAATATAAGTAAGTCAGATCTGGCTCCAGACATTTCTTATATTAGATAGGCACACTTAACACTCACAGAAACCATTCAAAAACCCTACTAATGCAGAGACAATTACACAACCAGCTGCCGTACAACCCACTCATAAATTGCTACAAAAAATCATGCTAATTTTGCATTAAACTAAACAAATAAGAGAACAAGAGTCCGCCCCAAAATGCAAGCCCTAACAAGCCGAAAGTAAATTTTGTTAATGGATGTAGCACTCCACATTGGCAACAAAAACTGAGCAAGTCCGCGAACGAAAAAAAAGATGATAAAAATAAGCTAAATTCGAGGCAATTAAAACAATTAAGTGCTTGCCACACTATTTGCAGAGCAGTAAAAGAGCACAAACAAAAAAAACCAAAACGAGCCAAGAACCCAACACATTTTTGCATGGCACAAAAAAAAACGAAACCGAAACGAAATGTAAATCATAAAAAAGAAAATGTAAATGTAAATCATAAAAAACAAGAAAAAAAGCACAAATGAAATGAAAATAAAAATCCTCAATTTGTATGCTGTCGCATATTCCTGTGAAGGATATATTCAAGGATTGTCCAAGGAGTGGCAGGAGCTGGCACATCGAGATGGAGATGTCAAGGGTGTCATAAATTTTGAGGGTATTCCTTGACAAAGGACATGTGCTATGTGTCTATTATTGATGCCCCCAACGTGTCTGAACATCTTGTCCTGTCATCAAAGGACCTACCATCATTGCCGTCTCCCATCCCCATGCCGCATTTTATTGTTCTCGGGGCGCATCCTCCTCCTACTTCTCCTTGGGTGCGAATGTCTTTGGCAAAAGGTAAGGAATACGTCTTAAGAGTATTTTGCATATGCAAACGCCGCCAGCTGTCCGCTCAAGGGAGAGGCAGGGGAAAGCCGCACAGACCACTCGGACATGTTGCATATTACCCTTTTTAGTTCCGTTCTTTTTTTTCGTTCTTTGCTTGGGATTGGAAAAACTTTTAGCATTCGTTTTGTTTCGCTTTTGCTCACTGGTTTTCTTTTCACACTTTTCTTGTTGCTGCCTTTGGCCATGGGCAATACGTCTTGGGCCACAAAACAGAACACAAAATCGTCTTAAGTATTTTGTGTGGTTTAAAATAAAATAAAAATAATAATGCAAAAAAAAACACACACACAACATAGGAATAAAACCAAAGCCCCAGCCGACTGTCCTCTCCCCCGCTCTGTCCCTCTCCTTGTGTATGTTTTTCGATGTTCGTGTGGGAAAAGGATAAGCGTGCTACATCCGCTTAGCGTTGTCTTCTTCTAGTAGTAAGTCCTGTTGTGGGTGGGATACCCTTTAAATGTAAATGGAAACATTCGTTAATTTTTGTTTGAAGGAGGTAAACGCAACGGTTTGTCAGTGGAAAATTCGCGGATAAGATTGGTTATTAAAGAAAAGTATTGACATACTTTTAATACATATTTACCCGAAGATTTAAAAACTAGAATTTTTCTCCAAGTTTGAAAATGGTGAACAAAAGCAGTGTTTTAATCAAAAAGTATTAAAATATATTTCATTCATAAATAAACATATTTTAATTTTAATTAAATATTATTTTAATATTCAAATTAGTTCCTTAACTTAGTCCTTAGTTCCTATTAACTATATTTATTTTAAATAAATGTTTGCATAAAATATATAATTAAAAATCTTATTTTTAATCATTTTAAATGTTATTGTTATAAAATCTTTATAATATTTTTATCGGTTTTCGTGACTAAAAGATAGTTGAATAACTTTTTTCAAATATAATGTTTATAGCCCCTCAAAGCAGCCACGAAAGTGCATTCAATATTTTCCTTTTATTTTGTTCCCTTTTTCCTTGTCGCCTTTTCTTGCCTTTCATTTTTTGGGTTCTGGACTGGTCCAGTCGGTCTCGTTGTTGCGTAAATGATTTTATTTCTCCGTTTCCTGTCCTGTACCATCGTGTTCTGTAAAATTTTGTGTTGATGTACTATTATTCCATGCCCAAGAAATTCACCCAAATGTCCGTCATTGTTTTTTATAGACACATTGCTATGCACACACATCCACAGAGAGAGAGAGAGAGAGAGAGCGAGAAAAGGGTTTGGTTAATTCCCTCCAACCTATCCTCTATATCATCGTCATTGTCGAACGAATAAAAGAGTGGAGGTGGAGGCCGCTTCATCGTGATCGTCATCGCATGACATGCGATTTAGCCATGGCCAAAAAGGTGGCTCTTGCATATTGGATGTTGTGTGAAGGATGGATATGTTATCCGATGTGTGATATGGGTTATGCTTTATATAGGTATATGTATAAGTGTGTATATTCTGCATGTGTGTGTGTGCAATCTTGATGATGTGAACTGTGGCACTTGTCCATACTGTGGGAGGAGCATGGGCGCTAAAGGATTGATGGCCCCATAATAATTTTCGTAAATTTTGTGTGGCTAGAAATGGAGCCTAGTGGGGCGTGAGATAAAATTGTGGATGCCCTCGAGGTGGCAGTAAACTGGCACTTTATAGGCTTCTAATCTCGTACCAAGTTTGGTTTGAGAGCCACAGGTACAACGCGCTTTTGGTTCCATGTAGAAAATTCGTCTTACTTTTCCTGACTCTGCCCATAAAATTGTTTTACTCTTTTACTGGTATATGCCACGCCCTTACAACAAATTTCCATGCATCATACATGTAAGAAAATGTAGGAAATGCTTTGCCAAAGGGAATGTAGCTCTCCTTTTCGCCACCAAAAACTCGCTTTGGTTGCTGCACAAAATAACTTTTAGCAGGGCACAAACTCCATACGAAAGAACCAAGCCAGCACCGGTTCATGCCACCATCTCCATGAAACACTCCCTCTCCCATGCCACGCCATGTCAGACCATGCCACAGCAGCGGCAGAAAGCAGCAGACCCGGAACCAGACCGAGAAGAGATACCAAGTCAGGCCACGAGCATAACGTGCAACTTTCCAGCTTTCGCCGCAATCAATTTTACGGGTGCACAGTGGCAGCAGCAACGGCAGCAGCAGCGGCAACGACCAAGAGACAACCTCCAATGCGGCAGTGGAATTAGAGCAGAGCAACCCCGTGGCACACAGCCTCCCAGCCCATCACCCCAGCCACTCACTGTGAATGGTGGGCAAACAGCGTTAGACACGCAACGAGAAAGTGGAGCGGCAGAAGGGGCAGGAGTGGCAAAAGTAGCAGAAGGGGCAGACGCAGCCAGAGTGGAGTTGTGGCAGCAGTGGGAGTGACGGCAAAGGAGGAACACAGCCGCCGCCCCAGCACGTGGTCCAGCTCACATGAAGGTATTAGCGCGTAACATCGTTGCATGATTAACCTCCATGGGTCAACGCCATGCGGAATGGGTTGCATGTCCTGTTAGTCTCTCTCTCTGTGTTTGCATGGGCATGGCCATGGGGTGTAGCATAGCCATGGACCAGGCTCAAAATGCAACGTTCCTTCGGAAAATCGGTGAAGTTTTACATCTTAAAATGGCATTTTAAACTCCTGTCCATTAAGTTAGTACAAGTTACTAAAATTTGAGTCCAAGTCCCTAAGTTTCTGTCTAAAAATAGTCACATTTCTCAATTCTTTCCCCTGGCATTGGGTTGATTTTTCTGCCTGTAATAACTGCAGAACAAGCCTGGATGGGATGATGCCTTTAATGAAGCTTCTTTTCATTATATTTAATCACTAATTATTCCATATTATTTTTCATATGTTCTTTGTATTCTCAAAATACATTGAATGCCAAATTCTCCAATTTACTTTAATCATTTCAGGCCAAGAACAGACTTAATCTTGCACGCTAGTCCGCCTTTTTCACAATTTGGATCAGCACCTGGGGGCTTTTGTTCCCTGGCGCCACCAGAAAACAGGGCACTGATTATCATGCCAATGCCTTTAGGCACATTGCTCACGTTGATCAATGTCTCGCCCAGACTCTCGCCCGTTAAGGAGACCACTTTGACCAGGAAGCCAGCCTTGGAGAGAGCCTCTAAAGCGCGGAGCTTCAAAACTTCCTTAAGAGGAAGAGCATCCATGAGCGGCAGAGCTAAAAGGAATGTGATTAATGGTCTAAAAATACTAAATCTATTTTAGGGCATATTTACTGCTGAATATTAACACAATTTGAAAGTACGCCAGCCACTCGGTACGGGACATCGCTTGGGACTGATATGACTAATTGTATGATATTTCTATTAAAAATCGTGTTTAAAACTGAAGTGGAACTAAAAAACCATAGCGAAGTTTGTGGAATTTTATATTTCTTTTAAATAAATACTTGCTTTTGTAATTAAAGCAAATGAAATTGCAGAAGCTTGAAGGAACTTGTCACCCTTATAAATTATGTAGCTTTTAGATATTTAAAAATCGGCATTTTATAATATTGGTGATTGATTTATAAGGATTTTATAAGGAACTAATATAATTATATGATATTTTTTGGGGTATAATTAAGGTATTTATAAAGATTTGTAGTATCTGAAACGGTCCAAATATTATTATAGTTATACAATTATTTTTTTCAGTCAACGAAATTAAATTTGTACACATATAACATTTATCCTCCAAAAATCATGAAATATCCATTTCAACTGTAGCTTTTTTATCCCCCGATTCTTCTTTTGTAACATTTAAATCCATACCAAAAATGTTCAGAATTTTACATTTGAAATTCGCTGGTTCACACACTGGTTTCTTCTTTTCCAATTGAGCCTTCAATTTAGTCTTCAAGTCAGCGTCCAATTTCGCCCTCCATTGAGCCTCCATTTCAATCTCCAATTCCCCTTTTTTAAACAGAGAGCGAACGATATCCATGCATAATGGCATCGCCAAGGACCTCGCCCGTGGTACCTATGACTTTTAAGGTATAACCCGCCTTCGAGAGGGCCTTCAGCAGTCGCTTCTTTATTTCCTCTTTTGTTCCACATGTCACTTGATAAAAAGCTGAATAAAAATGGACTTTAGCATTTGGGAAATTCCTTCAAGAGGAAATATTTTACCATAGAAAAGAAGTAAAATTTGTAGAAGTAAAATCAATTTTCACGCGAAGGGTTCACGCGAGGGTTTACATGACTAAATGGTAGAATTTTCCTGAAACCCCGAGTCGAAGCATGACTAAACTCCGGCTAATTTGATGAAAACGTTTCTTCGAGACAAATAAAGAAAATTTGATAACATTTTTCCTTACTTTAGATTGAAAATGTAGGGTTCTTTCAGATATTTTTTCTTTAAGACAAGTTTCACTTGCGACGACTGTGACTCTCCCAAAATTTGTATCAATCCATTTTTCACTGGAAGCCAACTCGAAATTTAATTCAAACTGAGCGCCTTAACAAAAACATTTAACAGCACTTTACTACTTTAGAACTTTTCATACTTGACACGCTAAATAGAGCGTGGCAACATGAAATTCAATTAATTTAAATCTCGTAAAAATTAAAAAAACGAGAAGGGACGTGTGAGACGCTTCTTTCGCGTCACAACTTTTATACCCGGCACTCAGTACTACATCTGTACCTTAGCGGTTATTGGTCAAATTTTAAATTTTTTCCTCATCTGTCATCTACATCTGTTGTAGATGTACATAAAAAACAACGCTAAAGTCCCTTCTCGTTTTATTATATCTTTAGGTACTCAACCTTCGCATGAACCATTGTTCTGCATAATTGAGTCAAAAGGCTTAGCATGTCAAACAGATAGATCATCAAGAAATGATATCATTTCTTTCCAAAAATCCCATATATTGAGCTCGAAAAGAATATTGCTTTGCTTCGGTCTAAAAATAAGACCATGAGGAAGAAATTCCTGAAAATTAAAAATGTTAGCAAAAGTCTCGCTCTAACAGGCAATTTGGAGAGTGAAAGTCTCCAAATGTCAACTACAGAGCACGTTGAGCATAACGCATTTGAGCTAGAAACCCCCCAAGGCAGTCATCCGGTCGACCCGCCATTTGAGATTATATCTCCCAATTTTCTCGTCCCTGAACTAAATTTAGTATTTGGAAAACAAATACTATTAAGTGACCCTCAAAATTACACATTTTTGAGCAGCAAATTGGGATCGGAATCAGCTTTACAGAATTCCATGCCGCTAAAAAATTTGAACCGGGCTTTGAGGGCGATCACGCCAAGTTTTTATTGAAAATGGCTCAAAACATGAGTGATCTGGACAGAAAATGTATCATCAGAAAATGTATCAGTTAGCCCAAAAGTAAAATATCTGCCTCACCTAGACAAGGCTATTGGTTTTACCGATTTGGGAGACGGTCTTTCCGCCAATGACGAATACCCAAAAGTAGCAAATAAAATGCTCACATTCATGTTGAGAGGCATAGTTACTGAATGGGAAGAGATTATTGGAATTGCCTTTACTTTCTCTAGCACAACTGGTGCAGAAGTGGCAAAAATAATTAATAGAGCGCTGGAATCTTGCAAAAAGATGGGTTGCCCTGAACCTTGCAGCAATTAAATTACAACAATGCATAACGTGTGTAAACCGCTCCCTCCGGTCATAGAAGTATTAGATCAAGTTTTATGGAATACAATGTCGCTACACCAAACGGTGTATCAAAATATTCAGTTACTAAACAACTTCATAAAATAGACAGTTGCAAAACGGTTCGTCTGGCATCAAAGCTTACAAAAAATCACATCGATCCTAAACTGTTTGATTTAGAGAATGCTGATTTAGTTGTTATGTATTTTCAACTACAGTTAGCAAAGCTATTAAAAACTGTGCTGATGTGGGAGCACTTAAAGACTCTGCTGCGGCTATTGCCACATCAAAGTTTTTAAAAGAAATAAATGATTTCTTCGATTTTTGAAACCAAGAACAGTTCTGCTCAATGAAGATGTATTCCAATAAAATGAATAAATACTTGAAGTATTTTGGAGCCATGTACTTTTCACCCTTCATTCACCTACCTTGCAGGGCGGCAAAATATGAAGGGGTGCTCATATCTGAAACACAAATTGTGTAGAGAGAGAAGAGAGGATCCTGCTCTCTCTGCTGACCTCATCCTCTCTTTTCTGACCTAATCCTCTCTTTGATGAAATAAATGCTCTCTTTAGCATTAGACCGCAAGGTATGTCAATCCCACCACTCCCCCCACCTAAATAGAAAAGCTCTAAAGCTCCCCTGCAGCCCTGGTATTTTTTGTGACTTTTTACATGGCCTTATATTATCTCACCAAAAAGCTCCCCTGATAATACTTGTAACGTTTACGGTATTTCTTTTCGGTATATTTTGACGTCGAGATTGAGTCGACGGTATATCGGATTATATAGGTATATTTCGACAATTTCAGGAAAGAACGAGCTTCATTTAAGACCCCCACCACTCCCCCACCATAATATAAAAGCTTAAAAGCTCCCTGCAGCCCTGGTATTTTTTCGACAATATTTTCCCACCAAAAAGCTCTCTTGATAGTATACAAATACTGCCGCGTGTAAATAGTCAAATACTAGCGGGCGCAACAAAGTGCAAAACAACTCTAGGAAATAAATAAATAGCAGAGTAGCGAAAGAGAAACAAAACAGAACATAATTATGGCGGATAAAGTAAATGTGTGCATTGTGGGCTCCGGCAATTGGTGAGTGCGACCTGCCTACCACCGTGGCATCAGCAATCTTTTACTTATATAATAAATGCATTATGCTTCTAATTCCACCCGCTCCCTTCTTCCTCTGTAACCTTGCATCCTACCTCCTTCGCGCTCCTCTTCCCTTCTCAATCGCTCCAGGGGTTCGGCGATAGCGAAAATTGTGGGCGCCAATGCTGCTGCACTGCCCGAATTCGAGGAGCGGGTGACAATGTTCGTCTACGAGGAGATGATTGATGGAAAGAAGCTCACGGAAATCATCAATGAGACGCACGAGAATGTCAAATACCTGAAAGGACACAAGCTGCCACCGAATGTGGTAAGTGTGATAAGAGCAACCAACATCAACCCAAAAACAGCTGTTAATTAGCAGGGGGATAATCTATAGAGTGGAATTCCATCCATGTACGTGTAATACATTATGTAATACTTCTGTGTGTGTGTGTGTGTGTTTGTGCGGATTAACAGCCATTTGGCTTACATAAACGACTTTTTGCCTTGATCTTGACCATCGTCGTCATCGTCGTCGGTCGTGCAAGCAGCGAGCAGCGGCAAATTATCTAATCACACAACTGCACAGCTATTTTTACACCTTCCTTACACTCTCGCGCTCTCTTTCTGCTCTCTCTTTGTTTACTTGCCTTGCACTCAAATGCTTGTTCTTGATTTCTGGTTCGCTGCAATTTTACATGGCCAGCAACAAAAACAACAACAACAAACAATGAAGAGAAAACAAGGTTAACTCGAATGAGGGTGTCGACAATTGGGATACCCTTAAGGCAGCAGAAGGTGAATAATATGAACCAACTATAGAAAAAAACCTTGGAGGGAACTACGACAAGAATATACCTTCTACATATGTGTGGCAAACATCTGCTTGAAATCAAAATATTCTTCACCTATTCGAGGGTGTGTACGTTTCACCTTCAATGCAGATCCCTCTCTTTTGTATAACTTTCTCTGTTTCTCTTTTGGCCTGCATGCATTCTATTACGCTCCCTCTCTGGCTAATTTGCCTCTCTCTGTCTCTCTTCAGCTGTCAATTGGTTTTTGCACTCTCTAAATTTTGCTCCATCTCCCTTGAACTTTACAAAGCTGCCGCCTGCCATTCTCTTAAGCTGACATTTGCAAGGCTTTCTCTTAAGTTATCTTTGACGTAGGTCAAGGCCGGCTTGGGCCCTCTCTTCTTTGAAAGCAATCGAAGAAAAGCAACTTTCTATGACGCCTTTGGGGACCTTTACCTTTACTCAAGGTGTTATATCGACCTTAAGTGAGCAAGACCTTTCTCCTCTACTCCCTGAAAAGGGCACGTCGTTAAATTATGTCAATATTCTATTAGGCAATATTTGTGTCGTACCGATAAGAGGCGAACCTATAGAGACGACAACTTTTCCACTTGAAATGGCAGCATTTTGGTGTATATAAAAAGCACTCGAATATTTCCATTTGCTGATTATCGATAAGGCCCGGCCAACACTTGTTGCCGTTCATGTCGTACATGAACCCCAGACATGCAACGCTGATAAAGTCCCAACCATCTATCCAGAGACTAGTAGCCGCCAATCCCATGTCCAATCTCTACTGTCCTCTTTGGATGTGAGTCCCATGTTTGTCCGTTGTAAACAGCCTGTAAGTTCTAGGCATTAGCACAAAAAACAAAACCTCCATAAACACAGAGACCCGCCCTATAGATTAAACACAACTGTAGTAGGAGACATGCGTTAGTGGCATGGATTGATAAAAAAATATGGAAAACATAGCAAAATGGGCATCAGAGGAGCTGGTATAAAACATTTTGATACCCTTTTAGGCGTGCTTTCTACTATGAGATCTTAGTCTTGAAAAGTAACAAAATTCAGTTTTTTACGATTTAGCTTATCCTACGCTAAATCTGTCCGATGAATATTAAAATTTTATTACTTGTAAAGGAAAGACTAAAACTCTCTCCAACAAAGTTTCAGTGATTTTCCGTAAGATATAAATTAATTATATCGCGTATAAGGTTTAATCCAATAGATTCCTGCTCAAGGGATTCCTTATATCCATAGAAAATCCAAAGATACAAGAACTTCATGATAGTGTAAGTCTATTTAATCTCTAAATTTCATAGGGTACAACGATGGGCTATTCAGATAGATCATTCGCCCATTCTATAGATACTCAGTTCTTCTTGTTTGTTTGTCTGTATAATGAGACGCCTTCACCTTTATATACTAGCCATATATTCGTACATATGTAGTGCCATCTATTATATACGATATAAAATTGGCAAACTTTCAGTAGCTCTGTCTCACGATGGTGTGAAACGGGGCATGGGTTGAGGGGAATCCATCTGAACAGCAGGAGCAATAACAAATGAGAAAAATATATTTTTATAAACAATAAGCGAGACCAATGTCAGAAATGCAACAAATATGCAAGAAAAATCGAAAAAAAATGAGTCAAACGGATAATG